GCAAGGCAGTGTCTCCTTCGTAAGGAGAAGACCGTGTAGAGTGGAGACTTGATGACAAATGGTGAGCAGGATTTAGAACTAGAGAATTGCCTCGTTTTCTTTTTTATTTGTTCAGTGACGGAACCGATAGGCATTGAAGCTTTTGCTCCTTTACTGTAGGTCTTGTGTGGCGCAGCATCGCATGATGCTCTTGCGCGTCTCATGTTGCGAAAATTTGGCAGGCCTTCTGTGGATTCTTTCCTACTTCTCCTCCTCCTCAAATACCTACATTTCCTTATTTGTGCACCTCTTTGCCTTTCTTGCTTGGTAGAGCACAAGTTCCACAAATTACGCCTCCCTTCACGCCTTATCTCTCTTTGCGGGCAAATCCGCCAGAGTTGGTGCTTGACCTCATCAGTGCCTAATGGAGCTGCCTTTGCCTCTGTGAAGTTGCTCTCAGTGAACTTCGCGACTGTTTCGCTGCCAAGGCAGGCGCAAAGGTAACTTTGTCCCCTTTTTGTGCTGCTGCTTTTTTCGAGAGGTTCGTAAATCCTCTTTTGCGAGGGCGCATTCCTAAGTATCACATGCGACCTTTTTCCATCCTTTGCATTATTTTTTTTCTTTAAATTGTCTGCCTACGCACCTGCAAACATAATCTTCTATTGCCCTGGTTTGCTGGAAGGCATTACCTGTTACAGCATTCAGTTTTGAATTTACGTCATATTTGATTGTCATGCTTTTCATAAAGTTTCTTTTAAATCTTTCTTGACAGCAAATCATTTTTTGCAGATAAGTAGATTTAAACACTAAAAGCTTTGCCTGGATTTGTTGGTAATTGCTATCACCTGTCTTGTAATCGCTTGATCCAAATTATCGCGTAGAATTTTGTTTCAAGGAAGTTTTTGTTCAATTTCTCAAACAGGAGAAACTGCTTTCCTGTAAAATCAGTCATACGGCAAATGTATTTTGTAGGCACTGCACTTCTTACCAAGCCAACCTTTGCCAGCGGCTAATGAATTGTCGTGATGTGTCGTGATCCTGTAAAAAGGTGCCGGTGACTTTGTTTAAACGTTTTGCCTTCATCATCTTCGAAGGTGTGGGTGCAGCTTCACCTGACGTGACGTCGAATTACAAGGAGCCGGAGACCGGTGTTGTCCACCCCTTTGGCCAGCTTGTGGACTCTGCGAGGATAGACAGCGACCCTAAGTGCAATGAGTACGTGGCATATGACACAGGTCAAATTGAGCAGCGCTACCTCGCTTGTATCAACCTGCAATTCACTTCCTAGCGATTGCAATGAACGTGACAAAGATTTTATTTCTCAGCGTTAACATAGTAAATGCCACTAACAATAAATTTGCCACAGTCATTCAATGTTGTCTTCGCAATTATTGGTAGCGAATTCCACCTTGTTCAAGGATCTTTTACGAGCAAATTGTTACCTGTGTAGGCATTCCGGTCCCGATTATTCCCCTGGATCTGTACAATGCCAAGAACTGTAGTTCCCTACAATTGCGTTGATGTAGTGACAAGTGCAACTGTCTGGTCTATTGGGCAATGAAAGAGCCTCGTGTGCTTTCTATCTGTTGGAAGTGGAGGGGG